CGCGGTATACTTCGTTCAGTTACGTATTGCTCAAATTCGCTCTGTAGAGCAAATAAGAATACTCAGGTCATAGATGTTGGCGCGAAGACTTCCAGTTTCGATCAGTTGAGCAAGTTGTAAATACTGTTCAACATAGAACAAGCCAACAAGATCCACAAATTCGCTTTGAAACAAATAAAGAGATACTCAGGTCATAGATCAGCGCGAACTTCGAGTTCGATCTGTTGCGACAAATGAAATACTCGTAGTCATAGATCTCGGCGCAGGAACCCCGAAGGTTCGATCAGTTGAGCAAGTTGTAAATACTGTTCAACTTTATAGAACAAACCGACAAGATCACAAATTCGCTCTGTAGAAGAGCAAATAAGAATACTCGAGGTCACTAAGAATCTCGGCGGTAAAGACTTCGAGTTCAATCTGTTGACCAAATAAATACTCGAGGTCATAGATCTCGGCGAAGACCCAATTTGGATCAGTTGAGCAAGTTGTAAATACTCTTCAACATAGAACAACCACCGACAGATCCACCAATTCGCTCTGAAAGTAAATAGAGGCTCTCGGTGTCATAGATCTCGGCGCGAAGACTTCGAGTTCAATCTGTTGACCAAATAAATACTCAAAGGTCATAGATCTCGGCGCGAAGACCCCGAGGTTCGATCAGTTATAAATACTCTTCAACATATAGAACAGGCAGCAAGATCAATCCTGATTCGCTCTGTGAGAGCAAATAAGCTGCACTCGAGGTCTTAGGTCTCGTCGAGAAAATACAAGGTACGATGATGGTAAAGTAGGAACACTGGGATCATAGAAAGTCACAAGAAGTCCTGAAATAAGGAGAGAGGAGCGAGAAACACAACGTCGACAGTCAAGTTCGCCTTTGTAGAGATAACCCGGTCAATAAGCAAATTGAAAACGAAAGACAGTCCCAACGAATCCGATTAACGAGAGAAAATAATGTTATAGAAACTGATAATAGTGGCAATTTAACAGATTTCAAAAACATTTATTTCCAAAATATAAATAAGGGCGCTACTGAAATGTGTAATTGCTGCGGCGGATTATGGTTTTCCCACCAAGTTCGCAAATTAAATTTCGAAACTATTGCACAAGGTCACCCGAATGTTGCATCCGCCTTCTATTTATGCAAAGATTTCCTTCGGAAGATGGAAATTACAATTTTTGTGCTGCTTGCAAAAATGCGATTGTTAAAAAGAACGTTGTTAATATACCAATTTCTGTTAACATGTGACATCTCAGAGGCAGAGAGAAAAGAATTTAGAACGCAAAAATACTTTAAGGAAAAGTACTGGATTTAATATAAATTAAAATATTAGAAAAAAAGAATTATTGTATAACATAAATTTTAATTTTAAATACGTTAGACTGCTATAAGATACGGAAGAGATGACTATTTTAACGAAACCATCCAATGAGAAAAAAGGGGAGAAGGTACCACTGCCATTGGCTTTGGGTGGCCATGACGATGCATCATCATTCCGAGGAGGGGCAGCACACGGAAACCTTTTGGGTGCCCACTATCAGGGAGACATAGATGGCGAATCTATGGTCTTCAATCGCCCACCCTCATGCATCAAAACTGTGTTGTTATTTCTAATTGCTGTCGTAGTCATGATGATGGGCCTACTTGGTGGATTTACTCTATATCGCGCTTATGCACCCACTACTTCGAATTTACATTACCGTGCACTTTGCGATATTCCATATATGCACACTGGTAATATAACTATACCGCGTCTATATGAAGAACATGATGAGCTAGATTGGCGTAACCTCTTTTCGCGTTTTACAAACTACAACGGGAATAACGACTTGAGTGATGATTTCTTCCGTGAGGAAAT